AATGAGAATAATCTTTACTATATTATATATTCGATCGAAGCAAAAATCTTGATCAAATTTTTGAAATCATGTCTGTGAACATTATCTTGATTTGTGTCGTTTTGTTGAGTGAGTATGATCTGTTCGATATGATATAATTATACATTTTTTGTAATATTAAGTTATTCAACGTTCTGTAGTTAGTCTCAAGTGTTACAAATGTTCTGGAGGCACTCCTGGTTGTGGTCCACTATTTAATGCAAAAGACGCTGGAGTCACGATAGTCGAAGACGTTGGAAATATTGTATGCCTGGTACGTAGCGAATGCGACAGAAGAAAGGATCTCATCTGCATTATGAAACACGATGTAAAAGAGTATCTAAGAGTAAAAACTTTCCGTCTCATATAGATCTATATCCATACACTCCTTTTTTTCACAATGATCATAAGGTTTCTTTTATGTATTATAATCAGTAAAGTACTACAATCTTTCTCTTTTAGAAAATGGTTCATTTGAGTAACGATAGGTTTATGGAGCGACGGGGTGATACTACCAGTTGTACAACCTCTATCTCGTCTCCTTCAGCGACGACGGATGGATCTGTTAATTACTGTTGCTCTACAGATCTGTGCAATGGTGCTCAAATCAAATTAGCCAGTATTATGCTTGGTTTATCATTAGCTACACTGATTCTCTTTCTTACCAAATAAGGATTTTTGTAACTTCTTTTATATACTATTTTTGCTTTTTCACTTTATCTCATTCTTTTTTCTATGGTTTGTCTTTTTTTTCAAAATAATTCGAAAAATAAAAAAATCTGTTGATGGGTATTTGACATTTATCTCCTCGAAAGAAGGGTCTAATCGAAAAACTTTTTTTTACCAAAATACTCAGCTTGAAAAGTTCTACAAATCCTAAAAGCTTCATCGAAATCAGAGGAGGTCGCTGAACGGCTGGTGGTTTCCAGTATACAAACCCAATACTATATTTCATGAAATTAAATTATTAGTGTTGTTTTAATGAGGAATATCGAGAAACACGTTTGATATTTATGAAAATTTCTTTCTTTTTTATGATGATTACAGAAAAAAGAAAAAAAACAATAAGAAATGAATTTGAAAGCAAGTTCATTAATATTTTGTTTTCGTTAAGAAGTAAAATAATAAATTGTTCAATAGTTTATGAAAGAAATATTTTTTATTCGATACAGAACGTTATAATAGTACCATCTATATTAACTACAACTCCAATAATAGGTAATATACATGACAAACCTGTACTAACTCGGATATTCATAGCATTAGATTAATTTTTGAAACTGTGAACATCTTTGGAGACTTTTTCGAAACGACGGAATCTTTTTTAGAGGTTCAGCAGAACAGTAATTTTTGTGTACTCAAAAAGTGAGTACACTACTAAAATCGGTCAGTACGTCCGTCCGGCCGTTTATTCGATAACTCTCCAAAAATACAAGCAACTGAGCACTAGTTTTTTTCCACAGCACTGTCTCATCAATATTTCGGTCAAGTTCGAAGATGAGAAGGATCGGTTAAGAAAAGGCCGAGTTATTGTAAAAATAATGAAAAGTCATCAGTCCAGCCCTGCGGGGAAGTACAGGGATTTTTGAAAAACAAAATTTCGCATAGAAATTGTTCACAAGATATATGATCGCAGAAGTCAGTTTAGTGGAACGATAGATCCTCAAGTCCCATACTATGGGGGTACCTTTGGGTCTTCATATGCTATACGGTGGGGGCATATCCTTGGATCTTAAAGCTCTCTACTGCGAGAACAGATTTAATAATTATCTATATCAATGTACTTATAAGTACATGGCCGAATACACTCAATAAGTATAGGTGGTAATCTCTAAGTTGAATCAGAATGTTATATTTACTTCAAAGAATGAAACTGATCTCACCATTCGGTTGCTTACAAGATAGTTTCTGAAAGAATATTATAAGAGGGAAAAAGCTGATTGCAATCAAAGCAATCATTGACAATCATGAGCAATCACTGGCAATCAACGATAATCACTGAATTTTTCGGAATGGAAAAGTTTTATTCCGAACAATGAGGCTATTCGATAGTTAATAATTGTTCAATATAGTCAAAATCATATAATTAGAATAGATGTTGGCGTACATCTTATGATCTAGGGTATAGTAATAATAACAGTGATCAATCGACCCACTGTCCATATATATTTTTTTATTCTCTTTCTCTATATTTACGCTATCACGTGATATAAGACAACGAAAGAATTTTCTTCCCTCGTGTCGTTTCTGTTTCATTTTCATCCTTCACACACTTAAATTTATAGTATTTTCTGCGAGGAGGAAACGTCCGATCCTAAGTTGTTCTACTTTTCAGAATCAACTATTTTTGGCTAGAAGCCTGATGTTTCTACCGTGATTCTACATGATGTCACGTGATTCTCAAGATTCTATAATGATTTTATAAGATCCTAAATGATTTTGAAGATCCTAAGTGACTCTACTGTTTCTATGTGAATCTACAGGTTTTAATATGATTACAGTAGGGTTACAGAATCAGCTGCGTACCCCTTGATTTTTTCGTCATTTTTTCGGTTTTCTGATATGCTTACTTCTAAATATTCACACATAAACACAGCAACGCTTTCTTTAAGTTTTTGGATCTTCGTGATAAAGCATTTTATGGCTTTGTTCGTCGATGTTCTGGCCAACAAGTTGCTGAATTACGTGCTTCTTAAGAACTAAATGAAGTTGATTCTTTTCTCGGATGATTTTTCTTATGTTGGTTGGGCAACATTACAAGGCATGTGGGTGTTTAACTTTAAGAAACCACATTTAACACATTCGACCCGATTCAGTTTTCTTAGAAAAACTTTTCGAAAAGTGCATTGTAATGCAAGTTAACTTTCATAAATGCACTTAATACTCTTTTCGTTATCTTCTACCGATTATTCATCTTTCTCTCCTATATATCACTACGTAATGAGTCTTTTTCTCTAAGCGACTAAACAATCGCTTGAATCACTTTTTCGTTCTTTTTCATATTATACGAAACATGAATGAGAAAAAATGAAGGTTCCAACTTTTTTTTTCTTATTCTTTTCTCTTTATCTTTACTATATAGATACAACCGAAGTTGTAGAATAGTTTACATATTGTTTGAAGAAATGGATGCAGAAGATAGCGATAGCTCACTTAGTGAAGTGAGTTCTCTAGATGCCGATTTTGATACAATGCATCTTGAATCTGACAGTTCCGATGAAGAAGTTACTGATGAGGACATAGATTCGCATACTTGGAATAAAATAGAACCAGAATCCGATGCAGAATTTGTGGAGGATCATGGACTGATCGAGGATGTGACTCCTATTTCAAAAGATGATACAATCAATCCAATCGATTGCTATCGGCATTTCATTACAGACGAAATTATTGACCTCATGGTTCGTGAAACTAATCGATATGCAGAACAATATCTGCAGAGCCATGAGATTAGTAGAAGATCAATGTTTCATCAATGGAAACCAACCACTAACGAAGAGATGCTCAAGTTCTTTGGAATCATTATTGAAATGACGTTTATACAAATGCCGAAACTGAAGTATTACTGGAGCAGTAGTAAGTTGTACGGTTCACAGATCATTCGAAGTGTTATGTCGAGAGAAAGTTTCGAATTACTCCTCAGATTTTAGCATTTTTCGAACAACAACAACAAAAATTCGAATGAAGATAGGCTGTTCAAGTTGAAACCACTCTTGGATTTATTGAGAGACAGATTTTCGTCAGTATATATATATACCTGGCTCGGTTGTAACTATCGATGAAACAATGGTAACGTGGCGAGGCAGGCTTTTGTTCAAGCAGTATATTCCAGGAAAAGCGCACAAATATGGTGTAAAGATATACAAGGTAGCGGCTACTAATGGATACACTTGGAACTTTACGGTGTATACTAGTCAGCAAGATCCTATAGCCGGTCTTCAACACTCTGAAACAGTGGTTGTGAATTTATTGGATGGTCTTCTGGGATGTTATCGAACCGTACATGTGGACAATTTCTTTACCAGCATCTCTCTGGCGACACGTTTATTAGAAGATGATACATACCTTATTAGGACATTGAGAAGTAATCGTGCCGGATCAGGGAATGAAGTTCGTCAGAAAAAGCTTCGTCGTGGTGAAGTGTACGGACGCAAGAATAGAGATGGCATAAAGTTAATTATGTGGAAAGATAAAAGAGACGTTTTGATGATATCCACAAGACCGTCACATTCAGCAACACTGGCAAATACTGGAAAAACTAGTTTTCAAAATGAGCGGATCATGAAACCAAAAGTTGTGCTGGATTACAACCGAGGAAGACAAGGTATTGATTTTTGGGACAGCAATAGTCAATAGCTATTTGATATACAAAGAAAACTATGCCACAAGAGACGTGACTATTTTGCAGTTTCGTGAAAGTCTTGTGCGATCTTTACTGCTTGGTATGACATCCGAAAAGCTGAAACCTGGTCCGTGACAAAAATCAACAGGCCAGACGAAGCGCAAACTCACTGATCACACGCTCAAGAAAAAGGAAGGATCTGCTCGAGATGTTCGACGACGCTGTGCTGGCTGCTACGAGAGCATCAAGCAGCAACAACAATCGAGAGAAGCAGGTCATGCGTCTGCCAAGAAAATAAAAACCTTCTGTCCTGATTGTGAGAAATTTTTTTGTCTTGGTTGTTTTAATGAGAAGCATCACATCATACAATAAATGATTAAATAGTAACAAAGATAGAACAATTGACACATTATGCGTACGTTAGTCAATAAGAGAAAAAAGAAAAAAAAGAAAAAAAAGAAAAAAAAGAAAAAAAAGAAAAAAAAGAGAAAAAAGAAAAAAAAGAAAAAAAAGAAAAAAAGCGTTTTTCTATGGACTTTCTTGTTAAAACAAGTAACGCTTGTCGAAGCCAACTCGCTTAACCCTCGACTGATGCCTTTTTCATTCTACTCATTTCAAACAATGTATGAACCCATCCATCTCGCAGTCGGTCGTCGGCGTCCCTGCGGTCCGCCACTCCCGACTGCTCGATATTGTGCATAGCATTACAGCTTTCTCAAATGGCGTGCGACTTCCCCACCAACACTAGATTACCAGTTTTAAGCAGATTACTTATGGTCTTGACTTTANAGAGAGCAGCCTTAGGACCTAGATCAAAGTAGGCCAACCAGATGTCGGTTATAAATGCACTTGAACATACTTGATGATATTTTACCTGAATATTCATGATTTCATTGTATTTAATAGAAAGATCCGAACAGGTACATATTAAATTTGACGAATACAATAGTTCGGCATTTTCATATTCAGTTAGAGTTGGTGAACGTATCGTGATAGTATACATATCAGTTGCCAATGATGTGTAAATTGAAAATATAGTTGCTCCGATAAGCAATAAACTAATATAGACACGAGTTGAAATTATCCCAAGATGAATATTATCGGATTCGAATAAATCAAATGTGAGAACTTTTTCTTTAACTAGACGAAAAATTTGAAGAAGACGAATCGATATTCCTGGATAGATTTCTTCTGCTTCTTCCAACTGTTCGGTTCTAGTTCGTACTCGTGTTACTCGTCGATAGAATTTAATAAGCAATGGCGATAACAATCGAAAGATGACACACAGACCGCCAAAGATACTGGTAACCATTGTGACCATATGAAGCACATCAAATCGTCGTGAATAGATATAAGTACACATTGAAGGAGCACATTCGTCAAAATAGCTGATATAATCACTAGTATTGTGTAAATATTCCAGAAACAATTCTGTAAAAAGTGCATTCACAGTTGTGTTGGATGAAAAACGTGATTCTGTTAGTACAAGAGTTTCATTGAAAGGTTCACCGAGCATATTCAAGCATGATCGATTGAAAAAACATTCTAAAGTCGACTGCAGTATCGAACTACTCGGTGTACAACCGGTTAATAGACCAGGAATGACTGCAACTGGTGGAGGTTGAGGTAAAATCAAGCCACCAAGACCATTCCGTGGTTGTTCATCATATATACCAACAGGAAATGTGCATTCAAATGTTGAGGCACATGCACAAGAAGGAACGGATGTACTAAATGGATCAGTTTCATTTGTCGTAGTATCCGTCGGATATATCACCCAATAAGTATCAAAAACACGAGAACCTGGAATCATTGTTGTGAAAAAGTTAGTTTTCAATGCCGACATAATTAAATTCTGTTCCAACATTGTATTTAATAGTCGATTAGTGCGCACTAAGGATGTGACTATATTGAGTTGAAATTGTTTAACAATATCGTAAACTTCTGTTTCGAATATAAGACGTGTTGATAGTTGTGGCGAAATCATTAACATCGATGCAAACTCACCGTATATTTGATCATTGATAAAACTCGATACTGTGCGACATAATAAGGCGAGAGTTTCGAATTGAGATGAAGCTATCAATCGAAAGTCAAGAGGATGATAATAGCGAATTCTATTATTTGTTTGAAATAATGATTCGATCCATTCCGATTGTATTAAAATACTTGAACAGATTGGATGATATTCGGGCATTAATGATAAAAACTTGTCGCGACGAATTGATGTTTGTGTGCATGGACAAGANGGAGCATATTCGGGCATTAATGATAAAAACTTGTCGCGACGAATTGATGTTTGTGTGCATGGACAAGAAAGAGTTGTTGAATAGTGATACTGCAAACGTTCAACAAAGGAGAGTGAGAGAGGATTTCCGTATACAGTGATTACATTTGTTTGTATGCTAAAGCCAGAAAAGAGCAGAACAACGATAAGACCAATACCGACCAATATGACATAAAGTCGAGTAGCTAAACGTTGATCTTTTACTGTCTCGTCATTCGTTGAGAACAAATTCAGATTGATCAGTTGATAAATTATTCTGCTACCAATAGTAGTATTAACTTCATCAGTCGACATAATAGTTACAACGTTTATTTTCTATGAAATGGGACCAACAATTCAAAAATTCTGAGCAGAAACACTTCTTCTCCTTTTTTTTTAAACAATCTTCTCAAACTATCGTTTCTCAGTTATAGTAACTATTTCCGTTGTTGAAAAGAAATGACTTAAAAATGAAGAATAAGACAATAAATATTGTAATTTTTTCTTTCCACTAAACTAATTCATCAAGAGAATTGTTCTATTTTCTTCGTAGATACAAATCTAATTAGAGTATGAATGGATATAAATATCAGTATATCTTTTTCTATTACGTTACCATAAAGGATAGAGAGTGAATGTGAGTATGTTATATTTTAGTAAACAAATACTACGATGCGGTGAGGGTGTAAATGTTGTCTTCTCCAAGATCTACGCTCACCCTCACTCTCGATAGACAACTGGAGGTGGAATTTTTTTAGAAGTTATTAGAAATAATGTCCTTATAACATATAATAATTAAGCGGATTTCAATGTTCTTTAAGATCAAATACCGAAAATAGGCCTTTTAAGGAACTCCTTGAACTATAAGGAGGAGATTTGTATGAAAATAAATCAAAATTCATTTGTATGGATATCAAAGGTTAACATCTGCATAAGTTTGATCTTATTATTTCTTCTTGAAATCATTTATTGTTTATTTTCGATAAAATAAAGATTCTATTGACATAAAAAAGAAGTTTTAGCTTCATTTCGAAATATTTTTGACATATAAATAATTTTGTATAAAATCCAATACAATATGGAATATAATTACAAAAAAGTTGCAATACCTGTAATAAATGTTAAAACTTGATTATTATACATATCAATTGAATAATATTGTATAATTTGTTGATAAAGAAGAATAATTGCTAATAATATATTACAAATCATATAAAGAAAAACATCTAATAATAAAATTCGAATAAATAATTGATCTTTTGAACGTATATTATTTAAATTCATATGTGTTGATGTTTCTCTTCCTTGTATCATAGGTAAAATATGTATTTGTCGAACATTTCGAATATTTTTTATAGTTAATAAACGAAAAATAATCATTAAATAATAAGTAATAAATGTTAAATATGATCCAGATGGAAAATAACAAGCAAAATACATTTGGATATAATTGAATAATATCTGGGAATATAAGTGCATGAATATGAAATATTGATGAAAAGATTAATATACAAATAATACTTATATATGCAAGACGACGTGTACTATATTGTCTTGTTAAAGCATTTTTTTGAAGTAAGAAACATACGATCAATTGATGACATTATTAAATAATATGAACTTAAATTGTCAGAAACAAATGTCAAATAAAGAGTTAAACGACAAAAAACACGACTAGATATTGTAAGATCATTAGAATAACCTGTTAGAAGTGTTGTTTCAAATATCGACATATAAATTGTTATAATATTTGCAATATTAGATGCAATTATATAAATTCCACATGGATTTTTTCGTAAAGATTTTTTACTGAAAATAAATAATATTAGAATACAACTGATTGTACCGGAACAGATAAGAAATATTCCACCATATTTAAATATATTTTTTCGTATTATTGAAAGAGTTTCGAAGAAATCAGCATGTAAAGACATGATCAATTATTTTCTATATCGAATAAGAAATGAATTAGATAAAAACTCTCTTTCATCGTTATTAAATACTTGTTTTTACTCTGTAGATTATTTAGTCTAGATCTTATCTTATATAATTGATTGTTAATTGAAAACAAAATAAAGAAGATTATTATTTTATAAATAAACAAATACATTAATACTACAGTAGAGTGCAAAAAAGAATTGTCATTTATGTTGCATAGACTTTGTTTAGAAATGTTAGGTATTACTTTTCTGTATTTATTAAGATCGATATTGCTCGAAAAGTATTATGCAGTTTCTTAGAAATAGTTTATATCTTAGCTCTAAATTGCATGTGAATTAATCAAAAGAGATTATCGTACATGTTTAAAGTAATGATCGTTTGGAAGAGTTTTAAAACCCTTGCAT